GTCATGTATGTATGAAAGAAGCAATCAGCAGAGAAACTATATTTGATTCAGTAATTGCGTTAGGCTGGGCCCAAGTGAGGATCTATGTTTGGGAACACAGCTGGAGCCTCAAAATAGTTATAGCCAATTTTCATGTCACAAAGAGGACTATATCTGAAATCTTACCTCTCTTGGGAGGTTAAAGTGTCCCTTTGCAATCCTGTGCAACTTTGCATCTTGCAGAATGGATTCTTGAGTTACAACCCTTGGTCTGAAAGGGTTCCAACCCTTGGTGTGAAAAACCTTGATTTCATCCAATGTCTTGTTAAAACTAGACACAGCTAGTTTCAGGACCTTTTGCTTAAGCTTTGCCTGGAACAGCACCCTTCCCAGTGGCAGGCTTTAGCAGCCTTCTTCACGGTGTACCATCAAGGACATGACTTTGGTAGCTGTGAGACACGGCTTTGAGGCTGAGGGTCAAACTGATATATGAGAGAATTCTCTACCCCTTTGAATATTATATAAAATAATCACTGTCTCCTTTGTGGTTTTAACTGAGAGTTGTTATGGCTGCTTTGTTTTAGGTTGAACACTTGCTGTTAGTCTTTGTGAGATGCCAGCCTTTGAAGCCTCAGCAATACCACTTGGTTTTAGGCCACAGGAAATCTGCTGTAGTCACGCGTTAGGGCAGGGGGTTCATAAACTCTCAGCAGACTTGGCTGGGTATCCAGACTTGTCCCTCCTGGCATAGACACATGTGGATATTAACTTATGAATTCCTGCTCTTAACTTGGATTCCCTGTTCTATGATGTCTTTGGGTGAACAGCTTTTCCTGATTTCTAATACGTATACTCTGCTTGTTTTACAATTCCTGGATAAGCTCGCAGGAGATGTTTTGCTGAGACCTGTCAAGAAGATAGAAGCTCTGGTATGTCCATCAAAATGGGCACCCAGGTGTTTGACATCTAGCTTTAGTTAGCTGGACATCTGGGTGGAAATGTGGAGTATATTGACTTCCAGAGTATGCTGTAAATTTCAGTTTGGGGCTTTGTTCTTGAAATTCACCAAAGTGTTACTAAGACGCTAAAAGTATTAGAATGAACACAATTAATAATGGAGTTGGAATAAAAAAGAGTCCTTTAAAATGCCTATTTTTCATCCTGACTGGATGATACCTGTGTAATATACAATAGATTGGCCTAGGCTTAGTGAAATGGAATCTTGAATAGGCCTCTGAGGACAGGTCATATGGATAACTTCTTCTGCTAGCTGGGAATCATGCTGCAGAGAATCTGGTTCCCACTGGCATAGCAGTGGTACTGGTAAAAACTGAGCACTGGCTGCTGATTTGTGACATTCCTCCTGAGAACAGCGGAGACTTCATGTTCCGTGATGCAGTGAATCTTCTAAAGAGAAAAACATGACTCATTTGTCCAGCCTTGCAAGACAACTTAGATTTAGCTAGAGTAAACAGCTTGTCATTTTTATGCCATAATCTTTGTGATTAAAAATAAGGCAGGTCAAGTTAGGTTTTAAGGCTGTACTTCTATATTCATGTACCTATCCTTAGGTGTTTATAGTACCTCTTCTATGTGTGGGAAATCCATCCATGGTAGTCCAAGAAGTTTTCTCTTCCTGTTAGTAAAATTGTCTCATTAATTGCTTCTCAGCTTTGGAAACACAACTACTGATGTCCTGGTTATGGATGTTAAAGGGTCATTATTCTTATGTGTCAGGCACTTCTCAAAGTAACAGTAGGAAGATGCCATACAGAGAACTTGTTTGACTTGCTTGCATGAGGTTGCTGAAAGAGAAGTGCATGATGACTGATGCATGCCATATGTTCAAGTTCTGTATTTTAATGTTTTAGAATATGAGATATCTTACAAAGATGTTGCAGTGAAAATAAAAGCTATAATTTTGAAGTTCTCTTCCATGTGCACATCAATTTAGCGTAGCTGTTGAAAGCTGTTATTTGCTCCTAATAATTTCTGAAATATTTGAATACTCCAAAATACTGCTCAGTTCTTTGTCTTCTCACGTAGTTCCTGTTCTGTACTTTCACAAGAGCCTGCTTCCTGATTCTTGCTAAAAGTATCTGTACTTTGAGTTGTTAACTAACGCCTGTCCTAGGTATTTCCCCTTGTTATATTAGCTGGAGAATCAAACCTACATTCAGAGTTCTCTATCCTGCTTCACTAATATTCTGCAATTCCAACACTGCTTAGTAGACTGGTCTGAGCATCCTGAAGACCACGAGCCTTTAATATGGGGTGCATTCGTATTCTGTGTGCCTACTTGAGAGACAATCATACACTGAAACCAGTGGAGGCATTTCAGATTACTTAAAATAAATCGAGTCCCTCCACTGACTGATTTCTGACTAGTTGTCTGTTTCATTGGAAACACTGAGGGTCTTATATGTATGCTATTGTTCTTTACACTTTCTTTTTTTCCTAATGATTGAACCATTTCTGCTGGCATAGAAACTACGTACAAATCCAAATCTGGTGATTTTTTAGTTTCCTCCAGTAGGTGTCTCAGACATCTTTAAAATATAAAGGAAATCAGAAAAATTAAAGGTCTTGTGATAGCTTTCTTACAGATGCTTCTACTTCTGTCTACAGGGCTAGCTGAAGTGAGATTTTAACCTTTGGATTAATGATGAGGTAACAAAGAAGGACTTAATAACTTTACAGGGCTCAATAAACTTAGGTCTCAAAGTGTGGAGAAAGAGAACATAAGCATGATGTTTGATCCATTGATATATTAACAGCTTTGGTAAATTTTGAGGACTGAGAAAATTCAGCAGTTGCAGAGGGCAAAGATACGCTAAAGACAGCAATAGTTGAAATGCATTGCTGCTGCTGATGAAAGATCAGATTGGAATTTTAGCTGAATTTGAAGAAGGGCAAATGCTGAGGTCAGAAAGGTATGTTTGAAGAAAACAATATGTCAGGGTCTGCAGCTGCATTCAGCCTTTGACAGGTTTACTATTGACTATATCCCTTTTTGACTGCATGTGAGATGCTGCTGAGCAAACTGATGAATTAGAGTGCCTACTGGGGCATAACTGGGGTACCTCAATACTTATGTGTGACTTAAACATGAAGTAGTACCAAAGTTAAGTACTGAGCTGAAAATCTGGTTACTGCTTGTCACTCAGGTCACTTTTTTGAACTGTTATGGTGGTCCCTAAGATCCTGTAGCAATGCAGGATCCACAGGGCAGTGTGAATACGAAGCAGATTCTCTTTTGGCCTTGCTGTGGCTTTAGTTTCCTGCACCCTCACCAGAGGGGACTGAGAGAATCCAAATTAAGGACAGAATCTGCCTTTCAGAATGTCTGTTACTCTGGGGCTGAACAAGCCAGAAACTGCAGTTTGACTTTTGCGGCAGTACTGACAGGAAAGCAAACAAATCCTTCAACTTGAATCTTGCATGTGAGCACAACTGGTTGTGGAGCTGTTTGTATTCTGTCTTTTGGCTCAGAAGTAACTTTTCCTTAGATTGCCATTTGCAGCTGAAGACTAAGTCTGCTTAAACACAGAAATATTTTCCAGATGTGGGTTGTTTTTCAATGGAAGATATATATATGTGAATATATATATATAAAAGGTGTCCTTTTTTTCTTTTAGCCTTCTGAAATAATATACTTTTTATTGTATCAGTTCTATGGATGCTGATGTCAATGAGAAATTCTACTTAGGATGTCAGAAAAGTTGAAAATAGCAGACAATGAGCATGAAAACTACAGTATGCTGCCACAGGTTTAGTCTGTGAGAAAATCTTGGCAAGCCAGACTGCTTCCCGGCTATGTTATGTGATTATGTATGTAGCTGCCACTAGCTTGCAGCATAGCAGCATGCTGTATGATGCTATGATATCAAGCTCTTCATTGATCCTTCACCTGCTGGAAGCTGTTGCCTCTTGTATTTGCCTATGAGTTCTGTGCAGCAGTGATAACCCAGAAACAATTTATTGGCCTTCTGCAGCAATTTGAGAGCTATAGATAGCAGAACCTTAAAAAAATGCAATTGAAAGAATTGAAATCTTTAGGTCATCTGGGAGATACCTCGTGAGCAGTTTTGATTTGTGGGTTTTTGTATGTTTTTTGGCCCTGTTGAGTTTTTGGCAGTGCGCATGAAGAGACATTGCTGGAGTTTTCCAGGCCTTTATCCTTCAGGTATGACATACATTTTTACTTCAGGGAGCAATATTCTGAAAGTAGGCCTGGATGTCTATGGAGATTGCTTCAAGCAGGTATTGGAGGTTTTTGTGTATGTGCCTCTAGGCAGGACTGAGGCCAGGCAGGATATGTGACCTTAGTTGTGGCATTCAGTTGTAGCTTTGTGTCCCCAAAAATCATCTTGCCCTGAATATTTCAAATGCTTCTCATTTATTCATATGATCCGAAATACTGCTAGTGACAGGCATTGTGGTGTTGGTGGTGTACTGCTCAGAACATCAGCCTCTCTTAACATAAAGAAAATTGGATAAAGCTGTAAGCAGTTAGTATGAGTCAATGATTCTCTTCTGTAAAAAAAACCCAAGTAAGTAACAAAAGGAATTTTCTTAAAAGTGTCAGGATATTGTGTTTGACCCTTTAATGGAATAACCTGCAGATCTTTGTAAGGGAACTGTCAGAAGTCAGCGTACTCTCCCTCATTTGCCTACATTCCCACATTTTCTTCTGCCTTTTCCACCTGTGTTAACTGATTTAGAATGAGTCAACTTTGTATTCCTGTAGTGGTTCTTTCCAGTATCCTTTCAAAACTTCAGAGTGGAAGCTTTTATTTGTTACATTAGAAATATTAGGGGTTGGAAAGAGTCCTAGTTCAGAAGCTGTTCTGTCAGCAGTGCTTGTAGCAGCAGAGTATCATCAATAGAAAATATGGTGGAGTACTGCAGAGAGAAAAATAATCCAGTGATGTTTTTTGTTGTGGAGTGCTGAAGTTACAATAGTGAATGGCCAGTAAGTTTTAAACATACATAAGGAGAATAAAAATAAATAACCCTACCTTTCAGATTGTGTTCCATCGACTGCTTGAAAGGTTTGGTTTAAATGTCTTCATCCTGCAATAGTAAAACACTTGGCAAGTGGTTTCTTCATATGCCCACACATGTAAGAAGGATACCCTTGAGGGATAGGCTGACTATTGCAAACAATGTGGAAATATAACAACTTCTCTTTGTGCCGTTGTGAATTTTTAATTTAGACAATGATCAAACAAATCACTGGAGTAGCATGCTCATCCCCTTGAGCTGAACTGGAATGCTAACCTGCTTAAAGTGAGCATGAGCTTGCCTGCTACAGTGGATTAGGATTCATGTGAAGTATTTATACTTTAAACAACAATAAAATTAGAAAACTTTCAAATATGCAGTATTATGGGATTTATTTTCTTCTTTGCTGGGAACCCGGATAGTTACAGTATCAGCTAGAACTTCACTGTATGCTTGTCACAGCATATCCTTCAGATTTTCACAAACTTTGGAATTTATTGCAATGCCAGAGGCATTTCTTAATATCATTATTGGGAAAGCTGTTCTTTCAGATATGTGCACTCCAGGCTAAATGGAAAATTCAGAAAAATGTTTTCTATTAAGAATTTACAGAGAGACAGATGAGTTAATGAGATAATGACAGAATTAGAATGAAACAATGCAGATATTAAAAATATTAGTATCTTCTGTATTTCTTGTAGTGAGTGGAATGTGAGTGTTTGCTCATGTGGATCTGTATGTGCACACAAACCTGTTATATTACCAAGTTGAGTTCACGTCTGTGAAATGGGCAGTGTATTTTGTTGTGAATTTTAGAATTTGGGCCATGTGCTTTCTTTCTCAGCATCTCTCTGCTTGAGTGACAAGAACTTTAAAAATCTCAGTGCAGCTTACATTACAAGCACCGTTCTTGAAATCTGCAAGACTTTCCTTCTGAGAGAGAGGGTTTTTACTGGCCTTGAGATCCCTTTCAGCAGAACTGTCCTAGGATCTAAACCAAGGCAGTTCATTCCTGAATTCCGCATCTGTAGGTAATGTGGCTGGGGTGGAACAGAACAAGGCAAATTCAGGGCTGTTGCTGATGCTGCTGTTTATGCTATACTGTCTTTGCATACATAGTCCTTGCAATTATACTTTTCAGCATTTATGGATAACCTCTGAAAAGTTCTCATAAATTTCACTGGTAGCTTTCAGATTTGAAAGTACCCTTGGCTGTATAAGTAGCTTCATGATTGCTGATGGCCTACAAAGTCAAGAAGACAATAATGTATAGTGTCTGACCCATGGGTGATATTTAAAGATTTTATATTAAATGCCTGAAATATGGCTGAAACCTAAATGCAAAATTAGGTGCTAAGGAGAACCTGGGAACCCTTGATTCATTGCATTTCTCTGTTGCCCTGGAGCAAGTCCTTGTCTTGTATACTACCTTTTCATATCCTTCTTGGAGCTTAGTGTTTGTGCAGCACTTTGGAGATTTATAGCCCTATTTGATCTTATCATAGAGTTAAAAAGGGTTGAGAATATTTCTGTGCATCTGTTAAAGGTGCTGTCAGTACTTTAGATGGAGTCAATAATAAAGCTTCAAGAATGAGTCACTGTATGTTCCTATTTTTATGCAACCTCTTTACTGGTGTCATGTCTCTCTTGACCTCAGTTCTGTTTGTGTTTGATATAGCTGTCATTATTAATTACCAAGTAGAATCTTCCATGTAATTTTTGGTCCAGTCTCTAATTAATCTCACAGTGTAATTCTGTCTTGATGTCCATATTTGTTTTGTGTAAGACATGGCCTAAACATTTATGTGTGCAATGAAAGTAAAATTACTAACAAAGTCCATGGCCTCTTGCCCCTTGTTGGAAGGATGCAATTTTATTTAACAAATGCAAAAGAGGGAGCCAGTTTAACTAAACTTTACAGTACGTTCTTATCTGCTGTGAATTGCTTTTTTCTGTTTAAAAGATTTTGAGGTAGTAGGTTAGCTATAGTTTTTTTTTTTTATAGTTGGGTTTGGCTTGTTTACTTTTAGTCTTCTTGGAAATACCTTTCTGTAATTCTCTGTAAATTTAAACTGAAAATGCCAAAAAGGAGAGCTGGTGGGAGTCATAGCTGTTGGTAAGTTGTAAGCTTACCCATTACATCATGTCAAGTGATAACTGGTTTCACTGTGAACTTCTGTCTGTCTGATGCATGTGACTGGCTTTTGACCCGAAAGTGGAGTGTGTGTTTTCTTTAAGGAAAAGGAAAAGCAATGCATTAGTGAAACAGTTTGCCTGTAATGTTAAAATAAGTGCCAAAAACTCAGTCTCAAATGCTGGATATTTAACAGAAGAATATATGTAGAAGCTGGCTTTCAATTGAACCAGTAGTTCATTTTCTCCATGGCAGGCAGGATCAGGCATAAACCATTCTATATTTGTACTTTAACTTGAGTTAAAAATATCCCCTTTTCATTGTATTTGGAGCTTTTTCCTTTTCTGCTTGGTGATAGTTTGGAATGTGGCTGTTAGTCCTGCAAATCACATTCAGACATCTTAATTAAATACTCTTTTTGCCATCATCTTTGCTTAGCAACATCCCTTTTGAGATATTCTGGGAAACTTAATACTTGTCTGGTGTGTAAAACAGTGTTCATAAATCAAGGGTTGTTGCCACATCCTGCTTGCTTAAGTTGTTTAATACTTTCTATATTACTCTTTTTGAGACAGAAACACGAAGCCTTTACACACCCAATCATTCCAGCTTACTTCATGACACAAGTGCCCTGAAACCCGATCTTTGAAATATGGCTTACCATGCTGGTGTAGAATGTTAAAGTAAGTGAACAGTATCTACATGGTTGTCATGGATGCCAGCAACAAGTAGTTTTCACATTCCAAAATAACCTGTAATTTAAACAAAGTCATTAGGCCCATAGAAGCTCCTATTTGCATTTTCTATTTCATTTAGTTGTTGAAAAACATGCTATATCAAAGAAGGATATCAAAATCTAACTGCAGTATCCTAAGCCTACTTTGCCATAGACCATGGGTACGCTTCAGATCCTGAGTGTATTTTGTGCTGGACAATATTAACCTCTTGGGCACTGAGCAATTATTTCCATGTTTATCTTCTAGTGCTGCTGTTGAATCTCCTAGTTGGATGGGGGATTTGTCGTTTTTGTTTGTTTTGTTGTTGTTTTGGTTTGTTTTTTTTTTTTTTAAGTTGTATTAGTCCTCAGCTTGAAGTGTGACTGGGGCCTTGCTTTCTCCGCTTAGGCTGGACAGCGGTTGCTCTGGTCCATGCTTTGTTACGAGCTCTCACGCTGAAGTTTTCAAGCGCCCATGCAGTTTCTCTGTTGTATATATTGTGTGAAGTTGACCAGCACTTTTCATCACAAAAGAACTTCCCTCCCCCAAGGATTAAAGAAAACTAATATGTTTTACTCAATAAATCCAGAGATTTAAGTTTTTCTTTCCAAAATTCATAACTTGGTCTTCCAAGCTGGTTGTAGCCATTACTTGTTTTCCTTTGTTCGTCTAAAGTATTAGAACTCCATGCTGCCTCTGACAGTTTCAGAAAACGTTTAGCTTTCAACAGTGGTTTTAATTTATGTCCTGAGGTTTGCATTCCCCTCACAGTTTCCTTCCCTTCCCTAAAGCCTTGGCTATGCCCTATGTGTGCTTTTGTGGTATTGTACAAATACTTTCTCTGCTGCAAACTCTGTTGACTATTTTTTGGGGGGGCTTTTTTGATCAGTTTAATTCTTCATCTCAATTCAGGTTTCAGTGGAATAAGCCTCTGATTTCCATGCATTCTTTGTGTTTCTGCCCATGTGTTTCACTGTAATTGTTTACATATGGATGTATTAATGTGCTCTTTGCACAAGGCAAGCTGAGATACATTTTGTATGAGGGATACTGTATAAAATGTAGGCCTGCTGCATGTTGAGGTAAAAATTGATTGATCTTGCTAAGAGTAGAATCAAAGCCCTTAAGATTCTGTTGCAAGGTCATGAGAGGGAGAAGTTTTGTCAAATCAAAGCTGATTTTGAAAATCATAAATTGTTTCTGTGAATGCTTGGAGTGAAGAAATAATCTGTCAACTGTAAAACTACACACTTCTCCTCTAGGATCTATAGGGATGAGCAGAAGTGAAGATGTAGGTAACTATAGCTGTTCTGCTTTACTGGGGAAGTTGAGGAGAAAAAAAAATGAATAGTCAGCTTTCTTTATGAAGAGTACCTAGGAAATATAATCATGTTGAGGTTAGTTATTCTATCAATCTCTTGAATACAGCAAGTTTTTCTGTGACTTTTTCTGTATTTATCAGTACCCTAATTCTTGAATTCTGTCATTATGCTCCATGTAAATCTGAAACTTGTCACTAACAACATGAAGAACATAAGCATGTGACTGGGACACCATGCACCAGTTAACATTCGAGTGAGCACTGTTTAACAGCTCTTACACTTCATAGAGGTCAATATATATCTACAGCATGGTATGAAACATAAACCACCCATGTTTAGCTCATTAATGCAAGGGAAGCTTTGATCTTTATTGGCAGTGTCTGTAGCAGCAGCATATGGCTCTGCTGGGCAGGTGATACAGTGTCAATATACTCTGTCTATGTTTATATAGTTTATATAGTTCTTTATTAGTAAAAGTCTCCCAGAAGCCAAGGGTGAAAGTTCAGCATCCAAAATTTTCCACTTCTGTATAAGTTTCCTGTTCTTAGCTTGGGTGTTGAATGTGTTCTGATTGCTTACCTCCAGATTTCAGCCCAAAATGACAGCAATCTATCTCCTGTTTGAAGAACCTAGAAGAAAAGAACATACTGGTGTATTGCTATTTGCATATATCACTATGTCTATGGCAATACGGACACATTTATATTCCCTTTAGAAGAAGGTATTTGTGGCAATTTCTCTGAGCCTGTTAAAAAAAATTTCTTTGTTGCAGTAGATTACACTGTTCCTCAGGTACTGCTTTCTCATGCTAAAGTTTTTGTTGTCAGGACAAGTAAAATAATCACTAGATAAGAAATGTCTTATGAGCAGAACCTTTTACAGCTTCATCCTGCAAGTTTCTTGGGCACAGAGATGTTCAGGTACGAAATTCCTGTAGTCACTATTCAGCCAGCACTGAGAAACCATGACATTCTGCCATATCGCACTCTGCATGGAGCAGCTTCCTTTACTTTCTTTATAGAAATTGAAGACATGCAGATTTTCATATGATCAGAATCTGAGAAATCAACCTACCCAGATGCTTCAAAAACAAATAAGGGGAGGGAGTGAACAAAACCAGCTCATGGTTCCTGCAGCTGTCAGTGCCCATCAAGCAGGCTCTGGTTTTCCTTTTGATGCAGGACAAGAGCATTAATTTAATTAATGGGTTTGACTTGCTCTGGAAACACAGTAGAGAAATCGCCCTACCCACACCTTTCACAGAAGCTGTAAACATATGAATGTTATTGTGTATTTACTCATGAATGCTTTCCACATCGTTGTGCTAGATACAGTCGAATGCCTCAGGCAGGTGGCAAGCCAATGACTGCAACAAATCCTTCTTTGGACACCCAGATCAGAGCCACAAAGGAGAAGCAGGTTAGCTCCTGTTTACTTGGTTCTACCCGAGTTCTGCTTAACAAAGGCATTAATAATGGCTGCTACAGAAAACTTGTGGGGGAAACTGAAAGTTTTTTTTTTCTGTTTTCCATGATATGGGATTTAATTATAATATGGAAAAAAAAATAAAATATATCTAGTAGATCTATCCTG